ACAGAAACCGAGTGGTGGTCTTACCCAAGGGTCAATTGGATGCCCTGCACATAGTCCAGTACTGGATAAATATTTAACCCTTGGTTAAGGTTAAACAAGATACGTCCCTGATTAAGGGATAATGCGGTCAACAAATACAACCCTTGTAAGGGGATGTAAAGGGCTGGGCAGCGTCCAGAAACCTGTATACATTTCTAAAAAGTAATGTCAATAGAACATGGGCCAGACGTCGGGACAAAAACACACACTTGTTGAAAAAGAAGCCCAATAATTGTTGATGGTAAAATGATAAAACAAACATGATAATGACTTGTACCTAAACAGGAAATAATCTGTTCAAATTCTTACATCACTGTTTACACAAACTTTTTGCAGTTACTGAATTCACTATTTTGGTTAATTGTACAGTTTGAATATAATAATATTAATTATATTCACTTAGCCAGGGGTGTCAGTTTACAAATGATAGAAAAGAAAAGGGGTCCCTTAATGAAAAAAGGTTGGGTACCACTGTACTAGCGCATACTATGCTATGCACACAAGTGCAATTCGTACGGCAGTGTTTTTTGCATCCACAACATTTCAGTTAACTGGAAGGCAGTTTGACTGCCATGGCACCTGTGTAGTGCAGCAGGTGAAAAGCACAACTGCAAATCTCTCAAGTCCAATTTACCAGCCTGTCCACAAGTTTTTAGAAAAGTAAAAGATGTAAAATATATAATTGCATGGTTCCTAGTACGCCATAGCAACTACAGAATATCTACAGGATTGAAAACAGTTTCTGCTTTACTATAACAAACAACAAAGCTCACCTCAGTTCCTATATGCATGCATGGATGTGTGTGCAAGTTCACAGATATTTGTGCTGTCTGATGTAACTATATACAGTATGTTTATTAAAAAATGTAATAAACTATACCGTGATGCAGCATTGACTTCAGACTTGAGTTGTGAAAAATGAGCGACTTAGACTCTTCGGCCTTGAGACTTAAAGACTCCATTTGTCTTGAGGGCAAAAATCTGAGGAGACTTGACCTCGGATCAATAAATATTGAAAAATTCTGTGATGTGCACAGTTTTGCCTTTTGCGGCACTGGCAACCTCTATGAATAATAGATATTGTGGCAGGAATGTGCATGCAATGTTTTCATAATGTTTTATGTAATTAATACATACACATGAAAGTTTTGTCATGCAGCACAATTCATCCAGTGAACCCACATCTCACTGTAAAATCTTGTTCATTTGTTCCATTAGTTTCCTGCAGTCCCAACTTGCATTACGGCCCTCAAAAATTATGAGACCTTATGGTATGAACCAGTAAATGATATGGCATATTATGTAGTATATTTATAGCCCCTTGGATGATCTTATGGTGGATAAAACATGTGCCCTGTACAGTGACTGAATGTGCAAGAAATCTTGATAGTGCTCTCTAGGTAACACTTCCAGTAGAGAAAACATAATTAGGTGTTGTCCAGGGTGCCCTTTTTATCTTTTGCCCATGCCCCTCAGCTTGGATAGGCCACTGATCCTCTCCGTTTTTTCATAAACTGAACTCCCAGTGGTATATAAAGCTATTCTGCATGTAACACCTCTAACATCCTGTGTCAGCAGGAGATGTATGTAAAAAATAGTTATGAGAGCTTCTTTTAAAGATGCCATTAGATTAGTTGTCAGTTGAGCACTCAGAGGGAACAGGTTGATTCTATAGTGTACTGCTCTTGGCACTAATGGTATAGGCCAGGCAGTTAAGATTTGTATTGGCTTTTATCCCTGCGGAGTAATAAAGTGCCCTTCAGATTGGAGGCAAGCTTGAGGGGATTTTTTTTGTACTTCCGGTGTACGACTACAATATGTACTGGTATGACCATAACGAGACACAAAAAAACACAGTGTGGTACCCTAGTGTGACCACATTTGAAGTGCGCTCTCTCCTCCCCCTTTACATGTAAAAAAGTGAAACTTACAATGGGTATACAGACCACATTAAATCTTAATGTAACTCACATCTCAATGCAACACATAATGCTAAATATCATTATTTCCACAATAAATGACCACATGCAAAACCATTACACAGTAGGTCTAAATAAATCATTACACCCAAATACTAATAAAGACAAGCCCAATAATGACTGGTCCGAAGCCAACTATTTTCAACAGCTAATTAATTTTCTTGTTCTTATTATTCATATTCTTATAAATAATGCTCATAATAATCTAAACCTCTAAACAAAGTGCTTCATAAATGTTATACCATTTTGAAATGAGTACAAATGAGAATTTATCAGAGTACAAATATCAGTACAAAAATCGATTAGTGTGACATTTTTGCCCAGTAATAATAGTAAATAAGCCTTACATTTAGCACAACTTATTTTTTGTTTGTACAAAGTCATTAATACAGTGCTCAAAGTCTACCCCCTTGACCAGATTCAGTGGCCGGCAGGGAGATCCCTCAGGACAGCTGGTTTTTCTCACGTTGTTTCCTAAATCCTTTTTTCCACTCTCTTAAGTTGAGAAAAATTTGCTTCTCTCTCTCTCTCTCTCTCTTCTCTCTCCTCTCTCTCTCTCTCTCTCTCGATTGTTTTTTGTTTTTTTGTTTTTGTATAGCACAATCGCTTAGCTGATGCCTTTCTATTTTAAATCAGTTTGATATGATATGGCCTGCACCATGTGATGGTAGATGTTTAAATAAATAAATATAGTACATATATTGTATATCTACAGTTAATTTTGTACCTGTTTACATTTTTTCCTACAAATAATGTCTTTAAAAATGACAAATATTATTCAAAAAGTACGAAAAGTACTCATTGTCTTGATCATTTTGTGTACCTCCTATTACGGCAAATTGGCTGGTGCACCTGAGCACTCACCCAATATTATATATGGATAATCTGGCCCAGACCATAATTGGCAGCAAAGCTAGAAGAGTGGAGGAAGGTGGGATAATGAGTCCTGTTTAGCATTGTATAAATCTACTGTAATTATTATATACTAATTCCGCACACTGGAGGGGTACTGGTGATAATAAAATGTTGGACCTTTACATTTAAATTACTGCCACAGAAAAAAACCCCCCACAAAGGTCAAACTCACAGAGCCTAAAAACATATAACACAACCCCCTTTTTTAAAGTTGCTGAAGTCAAGTTATTTTACAATGGAGGATTAACAATATATTCACTTTTATTATTAAATTATACATCTATACAATAGATCCTTAATAAAACCGCAGCTATACAAATCATTTAAGAAGTAACCACGTGATATTATCCATTGCAATATAACCAAAACACTCTGAGAGGTATGTATTCATTCATTGATACTAAAGATCACATCTTGAGACATAACAAGGACATGCACAGATGGGGTCCAGTGGCTCAAGACCCTATCTTTTGACCATGCCACTCTCACTTTCAGTCATGTAATCTTTAGCCTTGGTAGCGGTGGGGCTCCAGGAAGGGCGATATTGTTTGTCAGTCTTTCCGTCGCTCTTTCCATCCATCAGTCCATTGGTCCAAAAATTGGAATCTGTCAAATATCTTCACAATTGTTAGATTGCTTTCCTCGAAATTTCGTACATTAATGATCCCAAGAGAATGAATTACATTGACTTGTCCAACACACGGAGGAAAAACAAATATCGCATTCCTGTCAGCCTCAGATTCAGCTTTTCTTTGGGCTTATCCATCATGTTTAGCACGTTAAGCTCAAAGTACAACTGACAAATACATCTAACCTGCCTAAGAGCAGCTGAAGCCAAGGATCATGGATAATGAATCAGATCATGTAGAGCTGAGTCTGACAAGCCAATTTTGAAATTTAGGTAACATTGCTTTTCCACTGACACCACCTTCAGGTCAAAATCTTTATGATTTTCCATCCATGCTTTGCTATAATTTGAATGTGTATGCAGACTCACAAGACCACTGGGTTGGCTCTAGACATTTTGTTTGTGTGTATGGATTTTTTCTTAGGATCAACCAGTGTAAGATATACTCTGATTGAAATATATATAGAATCACTTATCCCTTTAATCCAAACTATAAATAAATAAACAAGGTAACATAGTGGTCTTTTTCTTGGTCAGCACCAAGCACTGCTGAATAGCGCTGCAAAATAAATAACAAGCGTAACTTTTGTACTTTTTGAGTTGGTGGGTCTACACTGGTACGTCATACTTGAAACCAAGCTAGCAACTGAGCATTACAATCTTAAGCGGTGGTACAAATCACTCATGTACTGTGACAAAGTATAGTACAGTGGGTTGTGACGGACACATTTAACCCCAGGGCTTTCTATAGCTGTACAAGCCCCGATAAACCTGCTGCTGTGATTGTTTCTTATTACTGCAAACTCGACTTGCATGCTGGTTAAACCAGTTTCACACTTACTGTCCATAGTAAACTGTTGCCCGTTTGCCAAAGAACACCAGAGATACCACTTGGGAGCTTTGTGGTTTACCAAATCTGTATATACCAATGCCTGTATAGTGTGTTGTAGCCTGTAGATACTATTATTGGCTGCTTGCAAAGTTTGGCAAGATTTTCAACTGCAGTTTGGTAGATAGTTGGTGTTGATGACCGCTTTGTATTTAAATACTATAATCCTCTCCATCAATTTCCTATTTCTGCCACTCTTGATACAATAAACACATGTTTTTGGATTTTTATGCAAGTAGAGTAAGCACAATTAAACTAATATGAAAAAAAATCAATGATTTCACAAGCCAACAGCTAAATATTACCTACAACTAAGTATATGTGGCTTGAATGGTGTACAACGCTTTCTTAGGGACTACACTTGAAAACCTGAAACACTTGAAAGTGTTGAAAGTTACTTATCTAGTACATACCCACTTAACAAAAGATTACAACTTCCTGGATTTAATTCCCATGCTCCTTCAAACAGTGCAGTGGAAAACAGCTTGGTGAAAGAAACATTACTGAGAGTCACTCCATACTAATGGTCAACCAGAAGATGTTGTGCATGACTGGGAAATTCAAATGTCCTTTTATTCTATGTAGTGTGGGTTACAGAACTGAAAGACAGTAAGCTCATCTCTATGTACAGGAAATGCGACTGCTTTTGTGCAAATCACATGAATAACTTCTAAAATGTCAAAATAAAAACTTGTATGCAAATTAGGCACTCATACAGTATAGGCAGTATTGTCCCCATTTCTTCTACAACTTTCACCACCACTGACAAAACAAAGACAGCAGCGAATGCACGCATATCTTACAGGCCTGGCCTACATTTCCTGACTTGCAAGTACAATTTAGTGAGTCCCACTGAAATATTCAGCGTTCGAGGGTTTCAAACAAAGCGTTGTAAGTTGTGCGCATTCAGGATGGACGGCAGCTTCCGCTCACTGCACTCGTCCCTCTGTCCACCACTGCAGGACACTGATCTTTTGCTTTACACAATTTGCAACGAAGGAAACCACAGCAGCTTGATTCTGACAGTTTCACCAACATCAAATACACTAACAGCTGTAGAGATTCAGCCACTTGCTTGTACTGGAGCATCAAGAAAGTGGACTGCAGGCTACAGGCTTTTGCAGTGTTCCTGAGAAACTTCCAGGGCACAGAGATGTTTAGTTGTGAGAAATCCTGCAGCTGCACGTCCACCTGTTAGTCCTTTAAAAGAGAGAGGTAAGTTTGTGTCTTAGGTCCACAGAGCGCGCGCTGCAGTCAGATGTAGTACTCCTTCATGTTGTCCCTGACTGAGTTGTGGAGGTGCAGCTCTGTCCTGTAGTCTGTGTACATGCTGTGCCTGGTCTCCTCTTTGATGCTGCTGCTCCTCTGGGCCCGCCGCTGCTGGTAGAGGAGGCGGCTTATCACAGCCAGAGCACACACAGCAATGAAGACCACCGCTGTGACCACACCTGAGAACACAGCAGGGAAGAAGCATTAGTAAGTACCGGGGGACAATGCTGTCAACCTGGACTGTCCCCATCAAGTTTCTTCTGTTGACCTCTGATCCCGATTTAAACTGGTGACAGTAATGTCCGCTTGCTTCGACTTGGCTGTCGCAGAGTTTAATTGTGCAAGAATTCTTACCACGAAACACTGAAAGCTCTGCTTGGATACAAAGTTTAATTTTGGTCATGGAGATAAATAAACTAGTATCAAGTATTGTTACTTTGACAACACTGCTCAGCTAAGAGGCATAATTGGCCATTGATGTACTAATGTTCTGTTAGTATATTTAAATAGTGTGGGTTTTTTATGCTTACAATGTAATTGCAATGTCCTTGATTGTTTCTTGTGTTCTAGCATCTTCAGTAGAATACATAAATGCTTTAATTTATGTGTTCTAGCATCTTCAGTATGTAGTTTATGTATTCTCTTGAAGATGATTATAGCAAACCCAGAAGTTATTAAAAATCCCTTTCTTGCAGAGAGTTAGATTAGGTTAGAAGATTGATACCACTCTTATGTCTTTATGGTAAATATGGGCGACCAGTAACAGTTGCAGTCCTGCACATAACCCCCCAAAAATTGAAAAGGGAGTCAAATCACGGTGGTTCAGAGATGGTTCATGAAGGTATTATATATTCTGTATTATTGATTATTTTTTGTTGTTGTTTTCTTGGACCTGTGCAACAAGAGAAGGATGTGACATTCAGTTGATTGAGCTAGACAGAGCGATCCGATCTCGATCAATCTCCATGTGGACACTGGAGACACTCGCTACCATTACTGGGTTCTTCAGCTTTCAGATTCTGTAAACCAATTGCATGTTGTTCAAACTTACTTACTACTTCTTATGTGTTATTACAACATATTTTAAGATTAAGTTGTATAAATATAAACTTATAAGAGAAAATATATAGAGCAAGTTGTGATCAAATAATCCGGGATAATTTCTTCGTATGTCCACTACAACATTCATGGTATCGCTGAAAACTAGAAATTCCAAGCATTCTAATGACACTAAACACTACACTTGCAAAAATATTTCACCTAGGAAACAGCAGCCATTTAGCTCTTCGTCACTATCTGGTGGCCGTGTCAAAGTACGGATAGTAATAAACCAAACACTGTTGAAATTGTCTAAATGAGACAAATCTGTTCATCACTCTGTGCCAGGTGTAAATGTAATCAGGTTAATACACTGTAGATACGACATGCATTTTAATGCAAGGTTCGAAGTGAGTCAGACTGATGTTGCAGATAAACTCAAGGCATCTTTTATATTACAACAATACAATTCAAGTGTAAGGAGAAGTAAAATGCAAAGAAAAGGTTCCCTGATTAGAAAGCACACAGAAATCCTTCAACTTTATCACCATCAACTTAAATTTAATTTCAAACAAAGCTGTGTGAGCGACACTAATGAGAATGAGCTTGAGCTCAGTCTGAGTTATCAAGAGACCAGGAAAAAAAGGAATGAAGATGGAGGAGGCAAATGGAGAGAATGACAAGTAACAAACAGCCTGGACTCATTTTCAATTAACCAAAAGAAAAATAAAGCGGCACAGAAGAGAGAGACACACAGACCTGCTATTACAGCCAAATCTTTCTGGGTGCCGTTGCCATGCTGCTCCTTGTCTTTGTTCGCTGTAACAGTTTGATCTGGAGAAGCATAGACAAAAAACAGACACATTCATTAATGTCCCTATCATACAGGAGACATATGTATATGTCTTGAATCTCTGAAGTGGAGTTGGTTGTGCTTCACTGCTAAATTTTAGAATTAAAGCTGCAGTAGGTAGTTTTTATACAAATATTTTTCTTACATTTGCTGAATTGCTAATTGGTATTTGCAGGAATCCACTGGGCCTTAACGAAAACAACCAAGTACCACTAGAACGAGCCTGAGAGACCTGATTTTTTTCAGATTATCTATCTCAAATATCACTGTCAGAACACAGTGAAAATTTCAGCAATATTTACAAAAAGTTACCTACTGCATATGACATAATGACCAAATTAGGTTGAGTTTCAGTTTCAGTTTTCTCCCACTCTCTGTATGAACACTAACATCTGATTTTTTTCTCTATATACATCTCTGTGGTTGTCAACATCATCTCATCTCAACATCACCAACTTAAGTTTCCATCCCTAATAGCAACACTTGGTGACCCATAGGTGACCCATAGGTGACCTATGTTAAACTCTGCTCACAAGGAGGGTGTTGATGAAGTGATGATGTGTGTTCACCCAATTAACCCGTGTCAAAGTGTCAGACCGAATGGGTTGTGATGGTGAATAAGCCTTGGAGCAGTGGCATGTTTTAGCTCCACACGACAAGCTGTTTTCATGTCGCTGCCAAAATGCCAATTCACAAAATTTCTACTCCCAACTGCGCTCAAACTGCTGCCTGAAATTAATTAATTTTATGTTGTTCTACGTCACTTTTTATGTTTTATTATGTATATTTGTATACAGTGTGTTGGGGGCAGAGTTTCTGCCTTTCCTTACTCTAAATATTAACATTAGTTGATTACAGCACATAATTAAAAAGCTCTAACCATAACTCTGTGCTCCGTTATAGAGTCAATCATGTTCTTTCACGTATAATTGGGGAAAAAAACATATGTAAAGTGTAAAAAGACATTGGTGTCACTGCAGAGGCTGGTGTAGACAGCTCCATTGGTAAAAATAGAAACACATCTGTATTTTCAGACAGATGACTGAAAAACACAGCTGGCATGTGTCTGCTTTAGACAGACTGTAGCTAAATCCACAAAGCACTAGTTACAAGTTTTAAAGACAGGAACGGTTTAACAGGAAGCCAGTCAGATGGTTATTGCTTTTTAAATTGTCAATTTCCAGAAAGTGCAAGGCCAGCACTACAAAGGAAAATTAGGGGGTTAGTAAATACTTTTTGAGGCTTAAAGTGTCGTCCAAACCAAGGTCCCAATAAGACACAGGACCCCTTTACTAGCCTGGTGTGGCTACGCGTTTTGTCCAATGTGTGCCACCGGCGTCGTCGGTAAACAACGTAAAACTACGAGATGCGGTGGGTGGAATTTTACTGTAGCCATCCTCGAATGAAGCAGAGAGAAGAAGAGAAGCGGTCGAGGAGGAGAAAGTGGCACGAAAGAGCCAAATGGCGTAACCAATGGCAGCAACGAGCACTGGAGAGGCCAAAAGACAGAAAGTAATTAGGGCTGCAGTTATCTTTTTTTGTTGATTAATATGTCAATTATTTTTTGATTAATCGTTAAGCCCATGAAATGTCAGTTAATAATGAAAATTGCCCTCCATAATTTCCCTGGGCTCGTGGTGACATATTCAAATAACTTGCATTGTCAGTCATTCATTCAGTTCAGAGATATTTAATGTGCAACAATGTACAGAAAAGCAGCAAATCCCCAAGCTGGAACTAGAAAATGTTACATTTTTACAGGCACTGGAAAGATTAATTCATTAGCAAAATTGTAGATTAGTGGGAGGATGAAAAAAGTATTCAGAATGAGGTCAAACACATCACGTCCAAGATTTTAGTCAGTGGTTACAGACTATACTCCAGCGTTGGCTTAGCACGTAGCTCAACCTAGAAATAGTTAGTGGTAGTCTGTGTGTGAGTTAAACAGGAGAGTGTGTAAATGGTTTACCTTGCAGTGTGTGTGAGGTGGACTCTGCCAGTGCACCGCAATTTGACTGGACCAGTGGACCACGGATGGTGACCAGTGAACTTCCTCGATTAGTCAGCGCCGCCTTCAGTGGTGCCACATGATTGAACTGGACCGAAGAGAGGCAGCCACTGAAACCTTTAGAGGCTGCTTCCATTACTTTCTCATTGAAGTTCTCTCTCCCTACAGAGATACGTAGGTGAAAATATACATTATGTGGTAACATGTTTGATTTTTTTTAATTTAGAGGTCAAGAATGATAAAATAATGGGGACAGCAAATGAACAAAAGTACAATACACGTACAATTAGCAGCGATTTTCTGAACATCACTGGAGGACTTACTGGTGACTTTGCCCAATGTCAGGGATCTGATTAAGATCAGCTCTGCATCAGATGACAATGTGTACTTTGTGTGGATGTCCTGGTCGATCTGGTTGAGTGGGGAGAAATCAAATAACAAGCCGATTACAAGAAATCTAAACCGAGGTAACGGCAACACCAGCAGCAGCAGCAGATTTTAATACATTATAGATTGTGTTCTCTACGGCTTCACACAAAACCATATCCGCCCACAGCTGGCTTTGAAGTGATTTTGACCTTTCACTTCTGCACCACCGTGCTGACTCAGTTGCACCACTTAACTTGATGATCAGCAATAAAACACTGCAGGATTTTCAGAACGTCCGGTGACGTTAATAACCTAGCCTACAGTGGTACATCTATAGATGATATATATATAGATATATATATATATATCTATATATATACCCAGCTACGAATAGATTTCACTGCAGTGGAAAATTTATTTTAACACCCTTTCTCTATTAAACATTTGGATAGCAGGTAGAAAATGCCATTCTAGTTCCTGCTGATATGATAAGTTGAGTAATTGTACTGCAATATATTAATTAATATATGTGTTGTATATTGTTTTTTTGTTGGTTTATAATCCTAGCATAGAGTAGGCCTTACAGTTACTCAGTTACATTGTGGTAATTTCATGGTTTAAATATTTTATTAAGGTGCTTGAGACGTATACTTATGTAAAAGTGTGATATAAGATGAGGGGAATAAGGGGAGTGTCTAACGTAGTGGTAATTTCAAATATCTTTATTTTCATTGTTGACACAGGTAGGCATATCTGGCAGACATCGGTCATCTGGCTTTGAGATTAACAAAATACAAATTACTCTACGTCCACTTCCTTGCCTTTTTAGGAAGCTTTTCACCAGATCTAATAGGTTTCATCAGCACAAGGAGCTTGTCCAGTTGTCATCAGATGAAGTGTGGGACTTCTGACATGCAATCATAGTCGCTCCTAAGAGATTGTAATCCCTGACAACACAAAATACCCTTCTTTATTGCGGAGCCATTTCCCATCTGCTAATGAAGACTGTTAGATGAGCCTGAAAGCTCTACAAAAGCTAGCGAGTGGACTGTGAGTTAAGATTATATTGTTAAACTATGTATTAATTTATATCTCCAACGTCGTTGTGATGTCTGGCCACCTAAATCACGGGAAGCAGATTTAGGTGATTTTTAGGTCAAAAGATGTCTAGATGTTTAGCTCAGTGGGAGGGAGCGTTTTGTAGACATCTAGGGCAGAGGCTTTCAAAGAGGGAGTCCAGCCTCCCCAGGGGGGCTCCAAAGGGGAGGCTCAGTTAATGGAAGTGAAAAAATATTACATGAGCCATTACATTAGTTATCAAAAGGAGATCACATAGAGTAGCCTAAATGTGTGATTTGGTTAAAGAGATAGTTCAGAGATACAGTAGTTTTGAGAGATTTGACTGTTTTTTCCCAGTAAACATCCTGATTTAGGCTTGTATCTGAGATTGTGGCCTGGGAAATGACAAGATTGGAAAAAGGAGAACCAAATCAAAGTGCTTGTAGTAGGAACAGGGAATTTGTTTTTCTATTGTATCGACTTGGTATTGGACTAAATAGTAATACAAATAACCACACATTTTGGTTTAATTACAAATACATATGAATAGGGTGTTGAATTGGAAAACTGTATTTAGTTAGTATGAAGGTTGCCAAACTTCATTATCATTGGTAAAGCAAATTATTTTTGTACTTGGTTATTGACTCCTTGCATTTCAATATTGGTCTTTTGGCACTTTCAATTAAAACCAATGCACTTAATATTGCATGTTTATAAAAATCATAAAAAAAGCTA